CCCCCCCCCCAAAAAAATCACATTCATTAATGTCATCACCTATTCTATTGGAAAGGTCTTCTTTAAATACTGGGAAGTTGTCATGTTTACAGTGGCAGACATAAGGTTTTAAATTCTCATTTCCACATGAAAGCCTAAATTTTATCACTGGCAACAAATACTGTCAATTATTTTCATTGACGTGACAGGCCCACTAGATTCATCTTTAAGAAAATGTTTCCTAAATATCCAAGTTTCAATAACTACAATTTTTCTATCTGTCATTCTTCTAAGTCAAAATGGCATTCCATGAAAAAAGAAGTTAGTTCAGCTTGCAAACCAAAGAACAAGTGCTTTTCCTCAAGACAACCCCTGTTACAACATGCAGCACCAGGGCTTTCTGTACACAACCCATCTCATCACACAGATGTTAAAAAGATGTGTACTCGAGGGTTAAGACTGAACAAAATGAAGAATTTGTGTTGTTTCACCAAGAACATTCTTAAGTGAAACTGGCATCTTAAATTTTATTTACTTATTTGTCTGTTTACATATTTATTTTTTTTACAGGCAGTCTTTGGCAGTGAACAATAGAATCACTATTATAGTTTGGTGCTTTCATTACTAAGGCACCAGTGGTTTTACCCACCAGTGCTTCTGTACCATCAGTACAAATATCAACATAATGAAAAAGGCAAATAATGTTATAGTATTATTAGGAAAATAGTTTTGACCTGAAAGGGTTTTGGTGAGTCCAAGGGGAGGCAGACCATACACTGAGACCCACTGTCACAGAAAATTACCATATTTACTGACAAAGAATCTTTAATGTCTGAAACAGAATGTTGGAGTAGATCATTGATTAATCTACCCTTTAAAATTTTTTTATTTTTCAATTATAGTTTACATTCAGTATTATTTTATATTAGTCCCAGGTGTACAGCAGTGTTTAGACAATCATATACTTTACAAAGTGTTCCCCCCATTATTTCTAGTACCTACCTGCCACTGTATACAGTTATTACAATATTATTGACTATATTCCCTGTGCTGTACTTCACATTCCTGGGACTATTTTGTAACTGCCAATTTGTTCTTTTTAATCCCTTCATCTTTCACCCCTCCCCTCTGGCAACCAACAGTCTGCTCTCAGCATCCATGAGTCTGTTTCAATTTTGTTTCTTCATTTATTTTATTCCTTAGATTCCATCTGTATATATAAAAGCCAAGCGACTGGAATGCCAGAACGACAGGTTGCTATGACATGCACTGTAGCTGGCCAACCGGCCTGATCGGGGTGGTGGCAGCTCCTCCCCCCGGCTGGCCCCACCCAAACTGGGGGCCCCTGCAGCCCCTCTCCCCTGCCAGCCCGCCCGATATGCCCCCATTGGGGCAGGCCGGCTGGACCCCATCGTGCATGAATTCATGCACCAGGCCTCTAGTATATAAATAAAATCATATGGTACTTGTCTTTCTCTGATTGACTTATTTCATTTAGTATTATACCCTCTAGGTTCATCCATGCTGTGCAAATGGGAAGATTTCATTCTTTTTTGTGGCTAATATTCCATTGTATACATGTACCACAGCTTTTTTATCCACTCATCTATTGATGGGCATTTAGGTTGCTTCCATATCTCGGCTATTGTAAATGATGCTGCATTGAATATAGGGGTGCATATATTCTGTACAATTAGTGCTTGAATGTGCCCTGACCAGGAATCAAACCCACATCCTGGGCACACTGGGATGATGTTTTAAGTGACTGAGCTGCCTGGCCAGAGCCTATCTAGTCTTCATTTGGTTATTTGGGTTGATTTTTCCATAAATTTGGTCCTGGGAGGAGGTGAGTGTAACTTCTACCTACCTCACTGCCATCTTAGATCCCTAGATATATATCTATCTAATAGGGTGACTACTATTAAAATCACAGAATGAGAAAACAAAGGATTTAAGTACTAATTTAACTTTTTAAATGTGCTTAAAAATAAACTTAGGGTAAAAAATTTGGAGACTTTAAAGTTAGATTCGTTATTTACATTTTTGTTTTTAAGCATTAATAGTTCTATTAGTGCCCTAACCGGTTTGGCTCAGTGGATAGAGCGTCGGCCTGCGGACTGAAGGGTCCCAGGTTCGATTCCGGTCAAGGGCATGTACCTTGGTTGCGGGCACATCCCCAGTGGGGGTGTGCAGGAGGCAGCTGATCAATGTTTCTCTCTCATCAATGTTTCTAACTCTCTATTCCTCTCCCTTCCTCTCTGTAAAAAATCAAAATATATATTTTAAAAAATAGTTCTATTAGTGAAATAGCTTTCTCTCTCTTGCTAGTTATTACCTACAAATTTATTAATGTGAAAGGATTTGAAATGTCATTTCTCCAAAGAAGATATACAAATGGCCAATAAGAATATGAAAAGATGTTCAACATCATTAGTCATCAGGGAAATACAATGAGATACCATTTCACATCAGTAGGGTGGCTAGAAATCAGAAAGTCAGAAAATAACAAGTATTGCAAAATATGAGGAGAAATCAGAATCCTTATACACTGCTGATGAGTCTAAAATGGTCCAGTTACTTTGGAAAACATTCTGGCAGTTCCTCAAACAATTAAACATAGAGTTATCATATGATCCAGCAATTCCACATCTAGGTATATACCCCAAAGAAATAAAAATATATGTCTACACAAAAACTTGTTTATGAATGTTCATAGTAGCATCATTCATAATAGCCAAAAGTTCGAAATGACCCAAATGTCTGTCAACAGATAGACAGTAGATAAACAAAAGTGGTATATCCATACAATGGAAAATGATTTGACCCTAAAAAAGGAATGAAGTACTGATACATGCAATAACATGGATGAACCTTGAAAACATAAGGTTAACTGAGAGAAGCCAATCACAAAAGACCGCATATTACATATTCCGCTCATAGGAAAGTCCAAAATCGGGACATCTATAGAGACAAAATGTTGATTAGTAGTTGGGGGGCGGGGTGTGAGGAGTATGCAGGTATAAGTGATAGCTAAAGGATAAGGGGTTTCTTCTTGAGACGATGAAAATGTTCTAAAATGACTGTGGTGATGGTTGCACAACTCTGTGAATATACTATAAACCACTGAATAGTATACTTTAGGTTGGTAAATTGTATAGAATGTGAATTATATCAGTAAAGCTGTTCTCCAAAATTAACCATGAGAAAAAAGTTTTAGATAATTTTATAGATGGGCAGACTGAAGCCCCAGAGAGAGAGGTGATTGACCTAAAGTCACACAAAAGCTGGGACAGGGACCCAGGTTTCTGATTCCTGAAGTAGAGTGCATTTCATCCCCCAGAATAGTATACAATACCCCTTTCACTTCTGAAAAAAAATTCCAATGATCATACCAAATGCATTCAAACTAGAGTCAGCCTAGGAGGTGAAAAGAAAAGTACTCTATCTACAGTTCTGCTCTGAACAATGTCACTCTTTGTGGAAAGAAATGGGAAACTGAGCAGAATAAGAGAGGAGAAATAGAACTCACCATCTCACTTTAAACACTAAACCTTTTATGGGCGGGCTTATAAGTGGTCACACCAGTTGTGTAGGCTTTTATCAGAAATGAATGAGGCAAATCTAAGGCCCACCACAAATCCCACCTTCTCCATAAAATATTCCCAAATAACTTCTGTCCTAACAGTCCATTATATTTATTATACATGTTGGCAATTTTTATATTTCATTTTAACTATAATTTATCTTTTTTATACAGGGTGGAGCAAAAGTAGGTTTATCATTGTGAGTGCATGAAACAAAGTTTATTCCTGTATTAGTCTTTATTAATTATTGTATTATTTTCCATACAAACTGTAAACCTACATTTGTTCAACCCTGTATATTCTTCCATGTTTCATCCTTAGATACTTGACTCATGTAAGTTTTATCTTCTTGAAAAGATTGTTACTTTTTCCCATTATTTTCCACTTCTTCATACTCAAAACTTACTTATACACAGTGATACAATAATCAGTAATTCAACTGAATTAGTCCGTTTGCCTTTAATAATTTGAGATATTTGGTATTATCAGTGCAGTAAAAGAATTATAAGTAAATCTAGAAATACATTAGTAATTCCATGGATAATGGTTCCCTTTGAATTTACTAACTTATAATTCATGTATGTAGTTTTTTAACGTTGCATAGGCTTTTATCAGAAATGAGTGAGGCAAATCTTTAATCTTTATGCCTCTAGTTGGTGAATCATATAGACAAATTTGAATTCTGTTTCTAATGCTAGTTAAGTTTCAAGGGCCAACTGCTGGTAAAAGAAATGACCAATCATTTAAACTGCTAAAAGATAAACTGATGCATATCAAAAATCTTACGAGTTTATTTGAGCAAAAAGTCCATTCAAACTAGAAAGTGTTCCACCACTAGAGCCGGAAAAAGATTTCAGAGAGAAGAGGCAGAAGCAAAGCAAGGAATTATTTGATTGGCTACAGATTAAACAGTTGCCTTATTTCGGAAAGCCTGGGTGGCAGTTTGTGGTTGGTTGTCTTTAGGTTTGGATTTCTTAACCTTGAAGCATTTACAAGATTGGGTTTTATGTGCTTACATAATGCCACTAAGGCATTAGAACCACCTCAGTCTAAGAGCCTCCTTGTTTAAATAATTTAACAATAGCTATTTCTGGATTGCATTTTTTTAAGAAAGAAGATATTATGTAGCTCATCATTCCAAATAGTTATCCTAAAGGGCAGGGCTTTAGAAAAGGTCTGAATTAAAACAAATATTTTTTAAAATGTGTACCAGTTAGGGATTGACTGTAGCTACATGTAATAAGGTACAGTGGTAGCTTATCCAAATAGGATTGGAATATTTTCAAACAGCAAGAAGTCTAGAAGCAGGGAGGGTTGCCAGCTTTAGCAAATAAAAATACAGGACATCAGTTAATTTGAATTTCAGTTAAACAATCTTTTAGTCTAAGTATGTTTTATGCACCACTTAAATTGGGCAACCTGTGTTCTATTTTGCAGTCTTAGAAGTAGGCTGTCCAGGATGTGTCAGCAAGCTTCTTCTAACATCCTATCCTATCATCCTTCCTTTGTGGCGTTTGTCCTTATAACTGCAAGATGGATGCTGTACCTGGAGGCATCAAATCTATGTTCTCGGCAGGAAGAATGAGGGAAAGAAATGGTAAGACAATAATCCTCTCATCCAACACAATTTTACAATAAGGTTTCCTCCCTGATCTAAGTGTATTATGTGCATTATTTTCTTACCAAGAGACAATTAACTAATACTGGACATGGATACCTTTCTCGACCTCTTCAAACAATTAGCATCGAATTATTCTTGTGGAAGTTTAAAAGGAAATCACGAACAAACGCTATTCAATTACAATAATTTTTTCTCTCTATTTAATAGTGGTCTTACAAACATGTCTGTAACAGCCTGGCCGATTGAGGCTCAGTGGTTGAGTGTCAACCTATTAACCAGGAGCGTTTGATTCCCAGGCATATGCCTGGGTTGCGCTCGGCCCCCAGTCGGGGGCGTGCAGGAGGCAGTTGATCAATCATTCTCTCATCATTGATGTTCTATCGCTATCTCCCTCTCCCTTCTTCTCTGAAGTCAATAAAAATATATTTTAAAAAATAAACACTATTGGTTCATTTTTCTTGTTAAACCAGTAGGAGTTTCACAATTTTTATGGGACATTTTCTCTCAAAAACAAAAGCAGTTGTTTACCTAATTTGAGACTATCAAAAGCAGTATCACATGGTGACCTTAGCCACATTAATTTTTCTGAACCAGTAGAGAAGTATAGGTAAAATAAGAATATAATTTTCACCGTAACTAATGCATTTCCAGTAATTATTACTATGTAGATGAATTCTCAAAGGAAAATAGAAACTTAGTTTTACCAAGCTTTTTTATTTTGTTTTTAAAACTTGACTGCTTGTCTGTCTTTATTAAGGTAATACTTGATTTCTTCTCCCCTAAAAATATAAGATTTCTTCTCCCTTAAAATACAAGATTCATGTCCAACTGAATAAAAAGCATAATTATTTTGTCAGGGTCTAATGAAAATGAACATTTCCTCAATTTCTTGGAGTGGGATAGTTTTTACAAGCTCTACAAAAGACATCTTTCAGATAAGGTCACACCAAATAGAAGTTTTGCTCATTGGATTAAAAATAGATCAGCTCAGTGACTCAGCAGGTAGCTTATTGCAGTTGCCCACTGAGAACATCCTAATTCTTCCTTGTACTACATCACAGTGAAGTACTCATGTGGCTTTATGGGGATTAGCTTATTCAGCTATTAGAAATAAGATCATAGTATATCTAGGACATTCTGTGAGATACAATGCACTGAGAGTATTATGGGTCAAATTCTGGTTAAGTATATATAAGCACATATTCAACATAACCATTTAAATTTATTTTTAATGAGAGGATCAGGGGTCAAATAATGGTTAAGTGTAAGAAAGCATATATTTGAAGATTTATGTTCCTTTTAATAAATTTACAGTAAGACAGCTAAATTGAAAGTGTATGGCGGAATTAGGTTACAGAGTACTTGACTGTGCTGATTTTTAGAGCAATGCCTGTTTCATTATTCTGTGAACTTTCCTACCTGACTTCCCTTCCCCCCTGCCATATGGGAAACCTCAGGGGGCTTTAATGTCTTTTCATTTTTATTACTCAGATTCAGACAGTGACCAAGTCACTTCCAGCCTTGGAACAATCAGGGCTGGTCTTACAAATGAAATTGGTAGTTCTCCTGACCTTGACATGAGAAATAGAAGGCCTACCTTCCCCCAAAATATTTCCCTCCACATTATTGGCTATTGATAGGGAAATTTTAAGTTAATACCTTTTATTAACATATATATATATGTATATATATAATATTTTATTGATTTTTTTTACAGAGAGGAAGGGAGAGGAATAGAGAGTTAGAAACATGGATGAGAGAGAAACATCTATCAGCTGCCTCCTGCACACCCCTTACTAGGGATATGCCCGCAACTAAGGTACATGCCCTTGGCCAGAATTGAACCCGGGACCCTTCAGTCCACAGGCCGACACTCTATCCACTGAGCCAAACCGGTAAGGGCTAACATATGTTTCTATATCTGGCATCCATCCACTTGAAAATCACCCTTGTACAGTCACCATATGTCAGGATGCTGGAGAAACAATCAGTAAAACTAGGTCTTGACCCTCTAAGGGCTCCATTTAGCTCCTGATTTATCAGGTCCTTGAGTAAATAAATAGGTAAGTTTTTATGTGGGGAAAAAAGAAGAGTAAAAAGGTAGTGTTGCAGAATTTACCAGGCAACCAGAAAATGCACAAGGTGTACTCGGAGAGTTAGGAAAAAACCCTTTATTTAAAGCAGCGCTGCTGGCTCAGGGGATTCGAAGATCCAAAGCCTGAACAGCTAATACAATGAGATCACCCCTTATGTATTCCTAAATTTCTCTGTTTCCTACCTGTTTCCTAACTACCAGGCTTTTGTGGTAGTTAGCCCCTCCTGAGTCAGTTGGAATGGGGAAGTTAGATTGTATCTAAATGCCTGGTTTAGGTGGTGCCAGCTACACACACACATACACACACACACACACACACACACACCCTGGCCAAGCTGCCAAATTTCCAGCCTGTGGCCCCTGCAAACTGGGAGTACCCAGAACAGACTATTGCCTATGGAAGGGGCAGTGACTTAATTATAGGCTAACAAGAATGTGCACTAGGGCCCTAGCTGGTTTGGCTCAGTGGATGGAGTGTCGGCCTGCAGACTGAAGGGTCCCAGGTTCGGTTCCAGTCGGGGGCACATGCCCGGGTTGTGGGCTCAATCCCCAGTAGGGGGCGTACAGAAGGCAGCCGATCAATGATTCTCTCTCGTCATTGATGTTTCTATCTCTCTCTCCATCTCCCTTCCTCTCTGAAATCAATAAAAATATATATTTTTTAAAAATGTGCACTAGTGCCGAAACCAGTTTGGCTCAGTGGATAGAGCGTCGGCCTGTGGGCTGAAGGGTCCCAGGTTCGATTCCGGTCAAGGGCATGTACCTGGGTTGCGGGCACATCCCCAGTGGGAGATGTGCGGGAGGCAGCTGATCGATGTTTCTCTCTCATCGTTGTTTCTAGCTTTCTATCTCTCTCCCTTCCTCTCTGTGAAAAATCAATAAAATATATTTTTAAAAAAATGTGCACTAGGACACCATTCACTGTCACAGATTCAGATCGCTAGGGAACCCCCCCCCCCCCCCCGCCCCAGGTTGCCCCCTATATTCCTCCTCATTAGGAAGGTGGAAGAATCAGGTCTTGCATGGCTCTGCCCTGGAGAGGCAGCCAGGATAGCAGGCCAGGAAGAAGGAGCAGCTTAATGGTGGTAGGGACTTTGAAGGGAGGGGGGAAATCAATGCAGAGGCATTGGGGGGCAGAAAAACAAGTTTTATTTTCATAGAAATTTAACCTAGAGATAACCTTGTAAATACTGCCTGGTTCAGCCCATTCTTCTCTTAGGTCGGGCCCTCAACAAAACAGAGAGGTAGCTGAAATTTGTCTTTGGCAGGCAGTCTAGAGTGGTTATTTTTCCTTCAGAATTGCCAGATTTACCATAACCTCCCCACACTCCCAATCATTTGGGGACCTTTCATCCCTCAGTAAAGCTATTAATTGAAAAAAGGAAATTAATGAAGACTTCATTGATGAAGGTTTAAAGTGAGATCCCTGCTGCCCTGGCTGGTGGTGTTCAGTGGTTGGAGCATCGTCCTGCAGAAGGAAAAGTGGTAGGTTTTGTTACCGGAGAAATGTGTGGATGGCCTGTTTCCATTGCTAGTGGGAGTGGGGTTCTTGGGGTGCTGCTGGAATAAGCAATTCTGGAGGCCCCCAAGGGAGAATTGTTATGCCCAGATTTTAAGATCCCCAATAGACCACACCAGGGAGCCAGCCGTGTCCAATGCAAAAGCAAAGTCTTTTATTATTATAGACCCGGGTCTGGCTCCCAGCCTCCACCGACAAAATGGCCAGATGAGACGAGAGTGCCAGCCCCGTGGGAAAAAGGGGTTTTAACGGGGGTGGAGTGAGGGGAGGAGAGATGACTGTGGGCCCTGCCGATTGGCCAGGCGCAAGTCGGGTCTTGTCACCCAGGATGTGGTTACATCCATGGTGCGCACGTTCCTTGATTGTCATTGGTTAGTTTAAAGAAGTCCTGGGTGTGGCTAGCAGAGTAGCAGAGGCTTGGGCTTCCGGGAAGAAGCCTTTGCCGAGCACATGGCCAAGGTAAGATGGAGGGCGTAGCCCTCGCCCCTTCAAGAATCAGTACATTCCTTGGTTTCTAAAGTCCCATTTTCTTTAATCCAGTCCTGGAAAATGTGCAGCTGGGGACTCAGCAGAGTTTAAAGCAAAACTAGTGTCCAGGGTTTCCATTCCAAGATGTAGCTGGATCCTTTTTTGTCCTGAGGGGTTGGGAGAAAGGGAAGTTACAAGTTATCCTGACATTCCACAGGAATGTTATCTTAGATGCAAAAAGACAATAGGCTCAGTAAAGATCAAAGTTTATCTTTGTCAGGGAACATGTAGGCCTAGGACATGACTACTCACTATAGACTGCTTTTTAATTTAAAAAGTTTTAATTTCAGACCGTTCTTTGTGGTTACTTTAGGTCTCTGAGTTTGCAAGGCCATTACACAGGCCTTCCCTGAGTGAATCAGGTTAGCATGTGACCTCTTTTTATCTACACCTTTAAGAGAAAGAGACACATCTGTTATCTTTGGGCCCCAGAACATGGCTCCTGCCTGACACTGGTCTGGTTGTCAATGGATTAAACCTCAACAGCTTGTTGCTCCCAAGTTCTTGGAACAGAAAGCTGTCAATCATTTCACAACATTTACGGAATGGAATCCTTCTTTTTGGCAAAGACATTGTGAGTTTATATAGTCAGCCCAAGAAAAGGACTTGAAAAAATGTACAAAGCAACATGAAAATAAATATAAATAAATGGAATGAAGTTATAATGTATAAAGTCAGTCAGAGAAAATGTGCTGACCTTCTTAAATGCTTCAACAAATGTGAGGGCAAATACAAATTTTCTCTCAGCTAAAAATAAGCCAAGAGACTTGACTCTTTTTCCTCTTCTTTCTGAATTTCTTTCTCTGGTCTTTTCAAATGTATGTAAATCTTTTTAATGGAAAATAATCCTCTGGCCAGTCTCATAACTCAGGAATGTTTCCTCCTTGAGGGCCTGGGAGCC